CTCCCAGCAGACAAACTTCTGGTATCTCCTCTCAGGAGATTGAGATGTCACTTTGTCTGACTGTGCCAGCCAGCAAAAGTCACCCTCTAAAGAGCTCAGCATCGTAGACCTGCTTGTCCTGGTCCCTTCTAAATAGCATTTCTCCAGCCCTGCGGTGAGCTTTCAAAGGCTGGAATACAGATTCAGAGCATGACTTCAAAAAGGGTGTGCGTGCGCTCATCTGGTGCTTGGTGCCACTGCCAAATGTGGTGTCAAACTGGCTGCAGGTGCCAGACGTCACTGGTAATGTAAGGACCTGGGGCTTGGTGTGCCGTTCTGCTCAATGGGAGTTTGTGTGCATGCACATGGCTATGTGGCCTGCAGGCTGAGTGATGTGTGTCACCCTATGGCAAATGCTGTTTTCCTCTCTGGGGAAGCTTCTGCTGACGTTCTTACAGTTTGGGGGAAGATCTTGAGCAGAAGGACCTGGGCAGCTGTAAGGTGAGAGGTTTTTTTGCTCTGGGCAAGGCTCAGTTTCCAGATGACCAAAACTGATGCACCAAGGAGTGAAAGAGCATCACCACTGCTCTGCTAATGTGCTGTTGCCTTGTTCTGCTGAGTGGTCTCCTGCAGACCCACGTTAAAGCAGAACTACTTGTTCAGAGGACAGCTTAATGGTGGCAGAGTTTTATGTCGACTCTAGCTGTCAGGAATAAATTCAGTGGATGCTCTGTGTGTCATGCTCTTACCTTAAGGTCTTATTCAAGGCATTAAAGCATCATTTGTCATCAGGGTAGTAGTGGTAAGGTGGTTTATTTACCCTGAGCTGCCAGCATTGGTAAGCCCGGCTCCTTAGGGCTCATCTTTCCATCCATCTCTTATAAAATGGCTTTGGCCAAAGCTACCAGGAAGGTCTAATCCTTAAAATCTAGTATGCAGAGAAGAAAGCCTTATGCTTCAAGGTCCTGGGCAGGTGCTGAAAATCTTACCTTGCAAGTCTGAGCAGCACGTGGAAGAATAAAAGCTGTTCTGAGGCTGGCTGGGTTGGATGCTGGGCATCTTACTATTGGGGCACCTTTCCCAAGGTGAATTGCAGCTTGTGCTGATGGAATGATCTACGTGAGAAGTTCGTGTTAAACATGGTAGCTCAGTAGTGGGTAACCAGATTTAAGAGAATTCTGGGGTCTAAAGATGTAACTGGCCTGAAGAGTGGAAACTAGTCACCCTGTGAAACCACCACCTTAGTGTAGCTGCGGACTTCTGCTGCAGAGGTCTGGTTGGGTGTGAGGGGTCAGAGATGTTTGTGTGTTACTTTAAGGGGCCCCAGGATGATGCAGGAATTAGAGGACGTATTGCAACAGCGTTGTCCTGATGGCATTTACTAGGGGAAGCTCAACTGAGGAGGAGGAGTGCTTCGTAAAACGCTCGTTGTCTAGAGAGCAACCTGAGCGCCTGCGAACTGGAATTGTGCCATGCTGGTATGGAGGCTGCTCCACAGAGCTCTTAAATCTGTCAGCATTTGGCTGACGTGCCCGGAGATTGAGCGTGTTGGCTCCGAATCCAGTCGTTGAAGCTGCAGCAGTGAGGTGAGAAGTCGGGGCCGAGTTGCTATTAAAAGCTCCCTCTTTTGCTGTCCCCTGCAAAGGAGCGTTGGCGTGCGGCTCCGAGCGGAGGCATGAAAAGTTCCAGAAGCTCTCCGCAAACCGCTGTGCTCCGGACAGTAGGATGCGTGAGTGGATGGATGGGGATTGTGTTGACCCTTCACTTAAAAATTACCCCGTGGATATGAAAAATATGTAGCTGTTTGCACTTAGGTGTTTTTTCCCCCTCAATCTGAGTAGTTACCTGGTGTTTGCTGCTTCTCTTTGGGATCTTCAGGGATGCTCTCAACACCAGAAGTTGCTGGTGCATCTCATGTGTGCATTGGAAATGGTTTTTCTCTTGTGCAAGCTGACTGCTTGGGAAGGGAGACAAGGCCAGCTTCCCTGCAAGAACCGTGGCTTCCAGTGGCCCCGATGGCTTGAGAGCTTTTTTTGAGGTGGGCAACCTCCGTCAGGCTTTTGTGCCCCATCCCCAGGAGGGGATTTGTGTGGGTTAGAGCAGGATGCCCTTGAGTCAAGGGGGTGAGAAATAAGATCTGGCCTCTTATGCTGATGTTTCCTAGGCTACCTGCAAAGACTGGCTTCAGGCGACATAACCTGATAGCTAAGCAAGCGTAAAGGA